GTTGGGGCGTCCGGCTATGGTGGATGGGTGTAGGTGATGGAGGTTGAAGAAGGGTTGGGGTGTTCGACTATGGAGGATGGGTGTGGGTGATGGAGGTTGAAGAAGGGTCGGGGTGTCCAGCTATGGTGGATGGGTGTAGGTGATGGCTCGCTTGTCCCGTGGTCCGTGACCGATCCTATTCTACCACCCAACTCCCTACCCATTATGTCTTTCTCGTAGGTCGTTGGTCTTGGTCGCACGTGCCCCCGCCCCTTGCCATAGTGAAGGCAGTCTTTTCAGAACCATAGATTCCCAAGAGAGGAAGCAACAAGAAGTGATCCGTCGACACTTTCCCAAGCAACTAGAGTCGCAAAACGCCCTACCCGGGGATTGAACAGCGACGCACCACCGGGTGAACAGCAACCTACCCACGCACATAGGACAACGAGAGAACAATGTGAACAGCACCTTACCCCGGGGGTTGAACAGCGAAGTACAATCGGTGGGAACAACAACCTACCCATGCACATAGAGCAGCAAAAGAACAATGTGAACAACACTCTATCCCGGGAGGTGAACAGCGAAGTACTACCGGGTGAACAGCAACCCACCCATGCACATAGAACAACAAAGGAACAATGTGAACAACACTCTATCCCGGGGGTTGAACAGAGAAGTACTACCGGACGAACAGCAACCCACCCATGCACATAGAACAACAAAAGAACAATGTGAACAGCACTCCCCGGGGGTTGAACAACGAAGTACTACCGAGTGAACAACAACCCACCCATGCACATAGAACAACAAAAGAACAATGTGACCAGCACTCTATCCCGGGGGTTGAACAGCGAAGTACTACCGGGTGAACAGCAACCCACCTATACACACAAAATCAGCAAGAGAACAATGTGAACAACACTCTACCCCGGGGTTGAACAGCGAAGTTCTACCGGGTGAATAACAACCCACCCATGCACATACAACACCAAAAGAACAATGTGAACAACACTCTATCCCAGGGGTTCAACAGCGAAGTACTACCGGGTGAACAGCAACCCACCCATGCACATAGAACAGCAAAAGAATAATGTGACCAGCACTCTATCCCGGGGGTTGAACAGCGAAGTACTACTGGGTGAACAGCAACCCACCCATGCACATAGAACAGCAAAAGAACAATGTGACCAGCACTCTATCCCGGGGGTTGAACAACGAAGTACTACCGGGTGAACAGCAACCCACCCATGCATATAGAACAGCAAAAGAACAAGATTTGAAGCACTCTATGAAGAGGAGTCATCCCTGAAGTGTCTCGAACTGAAGCGCCACACACACACTCATCAAGGACAGCATAAAGGTAAGATTTGAAGCATCCTATGAGGAGGAAACATCACCGAAATATCCCAAAGTGAGGCGCCACACAAACACCCATCAAGGATAGCATAAAGGTACGATTTGAAGCATTCTATGAGGAGGAAACATCACCGAAGTGAAGCGCCACACACACACTCATCAAGGATAGCATAAAGATAAGATTTGAAGCATCCTATGAGGAGGAATCATCACCGAAGTATCCCGAAGTGAAGCGCCACACACACACCCATCAAGGACAGCATAAAGGTAAGATTTGAAGCATCCTGTGAGGAGGA